TGCATGTGACAGTATTTAAAATTAGAAAATGAAGTATTTGAAAGCATCCACGAGCATAAATGATGCTTGTGTGTCCCAAAAAAAAATGTATACTATTTTTTTTTTTCGCATGGATCATATGTATCATCTTTAAAAGGTAATCTTATTCGAGATAAATGTATATAATTATGCATGTCTCGTATCCTTTATCTCTTCCGTTTATTATTTCATTAAATAATTAAGATTTTGTGCACCTTATCATGTGCTACATACTCCTCAAGAAAGCATCACCATATCTAATGTGCTGAAGAGAACTTGTTCTCCCGTGTAGCACGCTTCTGAGTGTAGAAAATAATTTCCTTGAAGTTGGGCCAAAGAAGGCCTATGCAGTTGGATTTTTTATTACTGGGCTTTATGCCCATGTCCAATCACTTTCAACGTGTTAAATTGACGCTTTTCGTTTGGACGCATTGGTTTGGTCTGAACAATATTCATTGATGCTACGCCCATGTATTGATTGACGTGTTGTGCTCAAAATATTCTCCACTTAGGTCTGGATTGGACTATTTACGCTGTTTATATGTGGGCCAACATATTCGGCTTTATTAAGCGTTGGTGAAAGTAGAACGGGCCGTTGTGGGGCCGTTCTCATTGTTTCATTTAGTGAAGTATGGAAGGGTTCAGAACGGCCCGTTCTGCTTTCGGAACGGCCCGTTCCGAAACCCAAATTTATACACTTTTTGTGCAATGAGAACGGCCCGTTCTGAAACCAGAACGACCCGTTCTCATTGCAGTAATGAATGATTTCAATTCAAAATGTTGAATTATTATGAGGGTTTAAATTAGGTATTTAGGTATTTCTAAAATTTAGAAATAAATTGTTGTTTGAGTTTATTTAATTTGTTTGTTTGTTGAATTATATCAGGATGTCTAGACAGATTATTCATGCAGGACCTATGGATGATTCATTATTAAGGCTTCAGCCATTCCATATATCTGAGCATATATGGAATGAAGCTGAGGATAGGGTTCTGAAGGTTAGGAGTGAAAAACAATCAGAGTTGCGTGGTGGTGACATTCCAGCCGCTGTTCAGGATCTTTTACAGAGGGCTGGTTTTATGGGGATGGCGCAGATTAGTTACTTTCCTGTGGATAATCATTTAATATCTGCGTTAGTTGAGCGATGGAGACCAGAGACCCACACGTTTCACATGTCCTTCGGCGAGTGTACTATCACGTTGGAGGATGTTGCAATTTTACTTGGGTTGAAGATCTCTGGGGCACCCATTACTGGATACGCAAGTATGGATGGTCAAAATAGTCTCTATACTTCACAATTTTTTCTTTTGTTTCCTCTCTAGGTTTATGCAAGGCATAATTCCACCTGTTATAAAAACAAAAAAACCATTAAATCTTCAATTTCCAAATTAATTCTAAATATATTTATTCTAAAATCGATCACAAGTAATATAGTTACTAACCTTGCCCCTAGAGGAACATGAAATGTAGATAAAGGTGGATGAGGTGGTGCAATAAATGGAAACCGATACCATGCCCATAATTGCAGTAAAATACCTGACCCAGCAATTTCCTTGTGATCATAATTCGTCGCCACACACAACTCCCTGTACAAATTTGCCAGGACGCATGACCCCCAACTCATTTGACCACAAACATCTAGGTCTTCGAGGAAACTCAAGTAT